TTTTTTTCGTTCATTCATTTAGCGCGAAAACCATTGCGTCGCAGAAATTCAACTAATCTCCAAAGAATGCCTGACATATTTTGATTTTCAAAGGATCCTTCCATACTCATCATGCCCACGATTCTTTCTTTTTGTTTGCGCTCATCTACGAGTGCTCTCTGAAATTTTTTATGCCTTTTTTAATGTAAAGTTGCAGTTTGCTCCATCTTGTAACTAATAGGAACCTCTTTGCCTGTTTTCGGGATAATTTCTAATCGAAATTTTTGGCAGCACGATTCGAGTTTCTTTTCGCTTAGTCGGAATGGGGAGTCGATAAATGAATAGGTCGTCTACTGAATCCACATATAATAAATCCTCCTCGACCATGACTTTATATAAGATTTACTGTCTGCGATTCGTCTTTTTTGATATAGATTCGGATGTCAAATGTCCTTGTAATGTTTGCATATTCGTGTGTTCGTTTCTCTTTTCGATTTAGCACTTTGGGAAAGGATTCCATATCAGAAAAGTTTACATTCACGAAATTGTTGGATCTTTGGATGACTGTCTGACTTTTTGAAATGATCTTACTTTTTGTTGCGGTACGGAGAAGACGGAGATTATTTTGATTGATCATGCAGTAAGCTGAAACTTTTCTACTGCGTTTACATACTCGTTGTCATCCACCCGTTGATCTTGCGACCTCCGAAACGTGCTCAGTAAGGTAGAAACCACTCAGCGTGTGGTTAAACAGTCTTAACCAGTACCGTGCGGAGCATTCGATCCCGAAAGAGGAAGTGGTCGGAGGAATCGCAGAGTTTTGGGTTGGACAGCAGCGATTTCTGGTTATTCGGTTTGCCGCACCCATCTCTAATGGTCAGCCAACTGGTCGATGCATGTCGCGCTGAGTCACCCGAGCCTTTTGTTCCCGCCTTAGCGTCTTGCTGCCCCAACCTCGTCCTCGTCCCTGCATCGCGTTCCCTTGAGCTGCTATGATCTGCTTCGGGGTGGCCTTTTTTTGAGAATATTACATTGCCGACTGATCCATTTGCTCAAGTTCGTGTTTACTCGCCACTATTGATAGTTCTTGTCGAGAAGTTGTCGCCGTGTGCGAACAACGTTTGCTATTCAACAATTCACTCGTCTACCCTTTCTCTCGTTAAGAGCGTTCCATTGCGCCCCGCTTTTTCTGTGTCAACACATATGTGAGCCAGTCAGTGAGAACTTATAGATACTTTCGATTAAATATATGTCGCTACTGTAGATAGATGTGTTCGAATATATATGTAATCTGTATGTGTATGTGCGTATGTATGTGTGTGTGCGGTAGCGTCCCTCGTCGTGCTGGCTCCGTGGTTTTTTTCGCGATTCCCTCAGCGATCACTCGTTCGGTCGCTCAGGAATGCAATCTGTCAAGGTCGCCCTCTCTTGTCGTTTTTAGTTACGCTTTCGTAATTACTAAGCTCGAAAAAGCTTCATAGTTATTTGTGAATCTTTGTCTTGTCGGAGTGCATCTGGATTGAAATCTTGAAAGTTTTTGCAACAAACTCTATCTCTTCTTCCGAGTAAACTGTCATGCAACATCCCCTCCTCTTCCTTATGCTTTTAATCGCTTGAAACTGCTTTGGTTTCACCCTGGTAATCTGATTATACGCTGTGTCATCTCCAAATCCTCAGTGATAAAACCACTTCCGCTGTAACTGAAACTAAAATATGCATGATTCTCGAACCTTCCCAGTTGTTACTAATTTTGATTGTTTTTAAATGCGGGAGCCAAATACGGTTCCATACCCATTCGTAAGCTTTCGAAGATATTGATGTTAGACCGCCGGTATCGATTGATGCTGATTTCCCTCGTATGGTTCCCCTTGGCTAAAAATGCTAGTTGCTTACCTAAACAAAGCATTTTCATATTTACATCGGATATGGAAGATAGTGACTTCTGACCAACCTTTGTACCACTATAAAATTCACATTTTGGAATAGTTCCCGTCCATCAACGCATTTCGAAGCTTCATAATCGATGCTACAACTTGCGGAACATCATTCACTGTTACATGACTTAGGGAAGTTTCAGTTCAACTTATGGCAACTTGTAAGAGCCTTATCTTTAGCACTTTTTACTGCAATTTTTGCAGTAGATTGACTAGGGACAAGTTTTCGCTTTTTGATATCATTAATCACCCACTCTTTGATATGGCACACTTCTCGAGATGAACTGAATTCTGTTGGGCAGGTGGTTCAGCTTTTTTTGTGACCTAGAAGGCGGCAAAATACAATGAGTTTCGGCTTGTTAGTATCTCTTTTGGCTGCACTTGTGAATGATACTCACACTCCGTGGGATTTTATATCAATCTTCGACCAGAGGTTCTATTTTCTGTTGCGCAGTGACTGAATTTGTGCATAGACGATCTTGAAACGTTGTAAATCTGACAAAGCTACTATGTGGAGCCAACTAAGCGCACGTCGATGCGCATTTGGTGCGTACACTACGCGCATGCACTTTTGTGCAAACATGGATATATTGGTGTACGTTGCAAAGGTTTTTTGCAAAATATCGCTTTTTTCTTCGCATTTTTCATGGCACGCCATAACACCTGAGGGAAGCGAAAATCTCTCCATACTGTACTCTGGTGTCATGATCAGCTTGCTGAAGCGCTTTGCTGATCACTTCGTTCCTACAATAAAGCGGACGGAATTCGCAATGACTAATCACGTGATTGATGCATATTTTGACGGGAAGCGCCGTCGAACAGTCATCGGGCATGTAGATATACGCCCGTGCAATGGATGTCAGTTTCTGCGTTTCGGAGACGTCATCCTGACCCCTTAGCCATTGCCGATGGGGTTCATTTGTGTCGCACATGCGAGTTCAGCCATAACTTAACTTGATGGCGCTATCTATGCTTTGGGAGCCTCGCTTCTACTCTTCGAATTTGTGGTTTTGTACTGCAGCATCTGCTTCCTCCGTGCTTCATTACCATGATGTGCATAACAACTCTTCCACGTCGTATGTAGAACAAGCACAATCTAACCACGTTTATACCGTCATTCTATCAGAGTTATCTTGGAAAATATAGTTAATAGAGGACTTTGCAGCCACACATGGAGGAGTCGGACCTTCGCTTTCTGCAGGTGCAGAGAGCGGCCGTCGCCGACCCAGCACGAGCCTCCGAGTGGGCCGGCAAGAAACTCTGCTGGGTACCTCACGAAAAGGACGGATTTGTCGCCGGATCAATAAAGTAGGGCTTATTCGCGAGATGCTCACCTGTTTTCAAGCGATTATTTTAGAAAAGAAACGAACGACGAGGTGATCGTCGAGATCTGCGATACAGGAAAAACAGTTACGATAAGTAAGGATGACGTCCAGAAGGCGAACCCTCCAAAGTTCGACAAGGTCGGCGGCACTGCATGATTGTGAATTCTTTTCCAAATTTCCTTCGATTATCTCAGGTCGAGGACATGTCAGAACTGACTTATCTGAATGAGGCGTCTGTTCTTCACAATCTCAAGGAGCGTTACTTTAGTTCTCTTATTTATGTGAGTTGCTAGGGTTCTCAAGATCTTCAATGCTGACGATCCCGCTTCAGACGTATTCGGGTCTTTTCTGCGTGGTGATTAATCCATACAAGCGCCTGCCAATATATTCGGAAAGTTTGATCGAGGAATTCAAGGGTAAAAAGAGGCATGAAATGCCACCTCACATCTTTGCCATAGCCGATTCAGCCTATCGTTCCATGCTACAAGGTATGTTCTATGTGTTATAAACGCTGCTGTTGTGGTAATTGGCCCGAAGTGCAACAAATGTTCGCTGCAGAACAGGTGCACATAAACAACATGTTTAACGTGTTCTTTTTCAGATCGCGAAGACCAATCCATTCTTTGCACGTGAGTTCGTTGTGACTATTAGTCTGTAAATGTTATTGGCCTCTTGCGCGTTTTACACACCACTTCAGTGGTGAGTCTGGAGCTGGCAAAACAGAAAATACAAAGAAAGTCATCCAGTATCTGGCACATGTCGCTGGTGCAACTCGATCCAAAGGAGGACCGCAGGCACCTGCAACATCCCCTGCAAAAGTAAACACGTTTGATTTAGTTTTTCAGTTTTTTTTT